TGCTGCACCAGGGCTGAGCTTCTGGAGCCACCCATCGCTGGGCCGGGCCTTGGCAGCAGTTCTAACACCAAGGCCAGCTGCACGTGCAGGGTTAACTGCTGGGCTTGAGCATGGGAAGCCCACATTGCAAGTCACAGATCTGCAAGGAAAACTGAAAAGGAGGATTTTGGCCATGTGGTGCCCACAAAAATGAAAGCAAAATGTTTCAAAAGTATATGAAATCTGCAGATAGGTTTTTTTATGTTTCAGAAGTGTTGAATATTTTAAAAAAAACCCTCAACAGGAGTTTAAATAAACACAGGCAAGTGAGTCAGCAAGAAGATATAAAATCATCAGGAAAGGCTGAGTTTGTTTTAATACAGGGATTACTGTAAACACTAGGAGTGCATGGTAACAATTTGTAGCCCATGTGTTTTGAAATATCATAACTGGTGTCAATAAACACATTAAAATTCAACTTCAAAGAGCTTTGTGGATGTTTGGAGTGTCACGAAGACATTGCAAAATGGGGATTTTAGATGGAAACAAGTATGGGACCAATCAAACACAGCTCTTACGTGAAGAAAGGGATCTTGTCAAGTTGTTAGAGCTAAGCATCTGTGATGGTGATTATTGCTTCGTACTGGCTAAGAACTGCTCTCAGCCCCTGATTTCTTTCACATTGTCTCCCTTGCCTTCCACCCTGACCTGCTTGTTTGTCTCACCCACCTGTTACGTCTCACTTCTCAGACTGAATTCTTTTGAGCAGAGCCTGCCCTTTGCTGTTTGTTTCTGCAGTCCTTGGGAAAGCCCGACTGATTTCCAGGCTCTATCTCAATATAAAAAATAAATTCAGTCGGTATCTGTACCAGAATGACTCCTGGCACAGAGTAAGCGTTGTCCTCATGTGCTGACAGGCTGACTTAGTAAAGGCATCTACCATTGCCGCAGCATTTGATGCGTTTGATTCTTCCATGCACTGTGAACTGCCACTCCAGGTTCTTAGGGCATGGAGAAGGCTGAGCAGCCTCCATTCTGTCCTCCCCACATACGGCTTCAACGGTGGTGTTCTGAACAGAAGATTTTTGTTCCTCCTCATTCACACTTCCCTTGGGCTGAAACACCCTCTTTCCCTCGCTTTTTCTCTTGTAAAATGTATTTCTGATGCGTTTGGATTCACTCCATAAATGCACTCCTATTTGTTACACACATCACATAGATGCTCCAGGGAGATGGTTCTATAACTGATCTTTCAGGTGTAAAAGCACAGACTTCTAACACTTAAGTTTTAGCACTTTAATAAATCTTTTGGTTTGTTTCTGGGATATCCCAGAAAGTGCTAAGTTACTACTGTACATAAAAAGGCAGAATACTTCTGTTTACACGACTCTGCCTCGAGACTCATGTCCACCACGTGCCAGCCTCTTGTTTTTTCTTATTTTCGTCTTTTTGATGTATTTAATGCATTGCTTCACAGCAATCAAAAGTTCCAGCTTAAAATCCACTTGGAAAGCTGCATTGGTCATCCTGTTGGCAGAGCCACTGTCATGGAGTTCGCTCTCGGCCAACAGCCCATCTGTCCTCCCCATCCAAAGAAGGCAATGAGGAAACTGTAAGCCAAGGAGATAATCAGCATTTTCGAGGGAGGTTGTAAACAAAGATGGGGGAGAGGAGATGTGCCCAAATAAGGTGGCGGATATATCTTGACTAAGAAAGCTAAGTTATTTTATGGAGAAATTAATGCCAATTCATCAAGTCCCTGTCAAGTTTATGAAGGATAAGGCAGGTCTTCCTTGGAGCTGTATGTCTGAGATTTCCTAATAATTGTGTTAGCCAGCAAAATCTGTTGCCTGTAGGAAACTAAGACTCAGAGTGGAATGAGTTTGGGGAATGAACAAATTCCTTGCAATTGTCCCCTTTTTCTGTGAAACAGAAAAAAATCTTGATTCCATGGATTTCATTAAGGGATTCTCTGATGAAACGTTATTATTTCTGGGGTATCACCCGTATTTGGTGTGCTATAATCACATCGCCTCAACTACTGCTCTGTACTGTGCCTGCTCAGAATGAGGCTACATCCAGAAAACAGCTGAGGATAACAAGACCCACATAAATGCAAAGGAAAAACAGGGAAGATGTCAAAATAATCCGGTGTAGAAAGGCATGGAGAGAAGCATCTCTCCCCCAGTCTCTGGTCCCACTTGTCTCTCTTTTTGGTAACGCTTTCTAGATGTGGAAAGACATTTATCCTTGCTGCTACAGATGTTACACATTAGTCAGGCCCTTGGGGTTTACATGGGCGTACAGACTAAGAGTTAGCTGACCCTTTTCCCTCTGGTTTCACCCCAGGTAAACTCAGACCTTCTGAAGCTCATCACCCTTTTCTAGGTGCTTTCCAGCCTGGCCTGATTCACTCAGAATCTGCCCCGAGTTACGTGGTTGCCTCCAGTAGTGTTTGGACAGAGGATGGCTATGGAGAAAGGACAAGCCCTGGCTTGCCTGGGGGGATCAATTCTGTGCAGGCGACACGGTCAATAAAGCAAAAAGACATGCGTAAGCCGGTAAGTGAAAATGTGTGCTCAGGACTGGCATATAAAGCAAGCAAGACTGGCCTATAAACAACGCGTTTAACCATCTATGAATTTTTACAACCCAATGTCTGTGGGACAGAGCTCATTTATGTTTGGTATGTTGTGGGAGTGAACGTTACTACTGTGTTTCCAACGTGCCTCTCAGCTTTGAGTTCATATTCCATCCCATTAAGAGGTGACAAGCAGTGGATACCACCTAGTCAAGACGTTAGCAGCTCGTGTGGAATGGATTTGCTCGTCTCAGTCCAGTTCCTTATGTGTCTCTCCGCAGCTGGCAGCCCCTGGCAAAGGTCACAAAAGCCAAGGACAGACTGGCTGTCAGAAAATGAGCTATCTTTCCATTCCTGAATGAGATCTTGTCACAGAGATCTTGTCACATCAGTGTGTGTGTGTGTGTGTGTGTGTGTGTGTGTGTGTGTGTGTGTGTGTGTGTGTGTGTGTGTGTGTGTGTGTGTGTGTGTGTGTGTGTGTGTGTGTGTGTGTGTGGGTGTGTATATACATACACAATGCCAGGTGAGCACGAGAAATTTTTGATGTCTCATATTGTCTCTTCTGTGAGTTCAATTTACAGTACTTCAGCTAAACACAAACAGTAATTTCACTTATTACAAACCCTATAGTAACAAAGTTAATTCACACATGCCCTTTTTAAGGTGATTTATGACAGAACCAATATGAGGGAACAGATAAGCATTCCTGCATCTAGGTTCAACTGCCATTTAATAATCACAGTCAATATTCCCTTGTTTTAATACTCAACATCATGTTCAAAACGGAGTGCTTCGCTGTAAGCTGCATGCAGACCACGCAGGATTAAATGGGGCTTCTAGTGTGATGCATGTAACAACCTCTTAAATGATTAGGACACCTGTTGACATTAATATAGAAGCATGCATGAAAACAAGTGTGCCACACACTGAAATATATGTACACAAATATTAAGAGGATTAGAGAAATTGCTAAAATGGATAGAGTGGCATTTAACAGAAACATGTCTGGAATCTAAGCAGAATGGAAATAACATACACAGAGCTGATCCCTTGTTAGACGGCTTTTTTTTTTTTAGTAGTTCATCTGGGGTATAAAAGTCTCCGTACAAGGAGGTCATTTGCTTACACTTAAAATTTCTGTTTAATATATATCTTTGTTTGGAATCTGCCTCTAATTCATAACCACCTTCATTTAGTAGCTAGCACCTTTGCCATGCTAGCTGCAGGAAAAAGTAATTAAATTTAATAGAAGCCACCCTCGCTTTGAAGCTGCCCTGGATTTAGAGCCACAAGGAGAAGCAATTAAACTCTGGCAGCCAAGGATTCAAACTGAAGTTATATAGTGATTTTTTTTTTTTTAAAGGAAATTTTTTCTCTGTGAACGGATTTGGATTGTCAGATCTGATTGGATTGAAAGCTATAGAAATTTCCTTCTTTGGGAAATCTTCTCTTGAAGCAAAATTTAAAAAACCCTAACAATTAGGTGTGAAATGGGGATCAGTTGTGAAGATCTAGGATATTTTTAATTCTTCTGAACAAACTTCCAAAAAAGAGTTTGTTCTTCTCAGCAAAGTGCTGAATGGAAAAGGGAAGCATGGAAGGAAGACATCTGCATGTCTGTCTATTTGCAGGAAGGTCAGCTTGTCAGCAGCCTAGGATATAGGTTCATTAGGGGAAGGAATTTCTTTGCACTAGAAGGTATTATAAGCATTGTTTAAAGCTGTCAGGGTTTTGTAAACCAGCAAGAAGCAGAAATTATTTTTCACTTTTCTGATTTTTACCAAAAAAAGATAGTCTTTAAGTAACCAGGACAGGAAAAAAAAACTCCAGAATGCCATAATCAATGCCAAATATAGTTCTGCCTATTTAAAAATATTTTTAGGAGTTTCCTATAAAGGATCAGAAAGGATTCAGTTGAAAAAGGTCTGCTTCCAATGCAGACGTTATTCAGAAAAGCAAACTGGTAATTCAGTTACTACTTACAGGGGAGCAAAATTGTCCTAATCTTCACCAACTCTGAGAAATATTTGTAGTCTTAGCTAAGCCAGAGGTACATGTGAAAAACTTAATTATTGTCATGCATGTATTTTGCAATACATGCTTTTCTATTCTGAGGAAAGAAATGCTCTCGAGCTTGTTACAGGGATACATTCATGGTCCATGACCTGTGGATCAGGCTCGGTGAATCGATAGTCCTCTGGCTGGAGTCATGGAGAAGCTACACTGGTCATATCCAGGGAAGTGCCTGGGATCAGGTAACTTGCTGGGAAAATGTATTACAGTATCACCGGCCATTGTGAGGTAGTTGGGGGCAGACGTTGGAAACGGCAAGCTGTACACCCCCAAGAAGACTTCCCTAGCAATGGCGACCAGCCTGTAAAAGGGGAACGGGCAAACAGTGCCGGGGAGCCATGCTGGGGAGCCATCAACTCTGCGAAGAATGTTTGACCCCAACGTTTTGGATATCCCAGCTGTAATCTTTGACAACGGGTCTGGGTTAGTCAAAGCGGGTGTCGCAGCTGACAGTGGCCCAAGGTCTGTTTTTACAGCAATTGTTGGTCACTCAAAAGTCAAAGCTACAGTGCTGGGAGCTGGACAGAAAGAATGTTACACTGGAGAAGCAGCTTAGTCCAAAAGAGGGGTCCTGTCTTTGAATTATCCAATTGACCATGGCATAGTTACATGCTGGGATGATATGGAAAGGGTCTGGAGACATGTCTGCGAGTATGAGCTGAGAATCAAAGCCAGTGGAAGGCCAGTGCTGCTGTCTGAAGCCCCCCTCAGTCCTCTGCAGAACCGGGAAAAAAATGACAGAGATGATGTTCGAAGGCTTCATGGTGCTCGCTATGTACGTTGCGGTCCGGGCAACTCTGGCACTCTATGCATCAGCCCGTATAACTGGAATAGTCATGGACAGCGGGGATGGTGTTACCCACACAGTCCCCATACATGAAGGATACTGTTTACTCTGTGCTGTCTCCAGGATGGATATTGCTGGCCGGGATATCACCAAATATTTTATGAATCTTCTTTTAGAGAGTGGACACGCTTTTATTAGCACAGCTGAAAGGGGAATCGTGAGAGATATCAAAGAGAAGCGTGCTATGTAGCTTTAGAACCCATCCAAGAAATGAAAGCAAAGCCAGAAGAAATCATGAACGAATACAGATTGCCTGACAACAATGTCATCCAGATAGGCAACCAGCTCTTTTGTGCACCAGAGACCCTTTTTGTGCCTGCAAACATTGGAGTTGAAGATCCTGGTGTGCACAAAATGATCGTCAACAACATCATGAAGCATGACATTGATGTGCACAGGAATCTTTACGGCAACATCCAGCTCTCCAGCGGGTCCATGCTCTTCCCTGGCCTGGAGGAGTGGATCCTGAAGGAGATGAAGCTGCCTGCTGGCATGTTTGTGAGGATCATTGCACCCCTGAGAGAAAATATTGTGTGTGTATTGGGGCCTCCATCCTCACCTGCCTGACAACTTTCACACAAATGTGGGTCACTGTGAGTGATTACGAGGGGTTTGGGGCAGCTGCCATTCACCAGAAATGCTTTTAAGGAGAACGTCAGACCAAGTGAATGGCTTGTTACAACAACATATGAGCAAGAAACCCTGCTGAGAGCTGACTGACCTAAAAGGTGCTACAGCTGTTTGTGCGCTTGTTGGCTGACAAAACCTATATGAAAATAAAACATTAAAAACATCGGTAACGAGGATCTTATTGTTTATCATCTCCCTTCCCCTTCCCCTCTGCAGAGTTTACAGGTGTGCACGTATCACAGGGACGCAGTAACTCCTTGACTGACTGACAGCCTGCCTTGGGAGTCATATGGGGAGTAGCATACCTCCTCTGCTGGGAGATTCTTTCCTCTAAGGTCTTTGAGATATCTGGGTTTTCTATTCTAAAACTAGCTCTCACGTTATTTTTGACCTCATTAAAAATGTTTCCTTTAGAAACCCAGCAAAACCCCAAACAGAATCCAAATATAAATCAATGCAAATGCAATTACTGTAACCGACCCTCCTCTGTGCCTGAGGGTCTGAAAAAATCCATTGATTCTCTGCTGTAATTTATCTGGGAAGTAAGAACACCTAGTTTCACTTCCAAGTACTAGCCCTGAATCAAAATGCCTCACACTGCCGGCTCCCTGGAGGAAGCAGCGTTGCCGGTGTAGCTGCGGAGGACTGTGAGCTCAGCCGAGTGGTGCCTATTTGCGACTGGGGGATCTAGAACATTGCACCGATGCTCTGTGTCAGCAGCCACTGCCAGGGCCAGCACCATCCTGCGCAGGATGTCTGACTCTGCGGCGGCGGCAGCGGCAGGGACCTGCACAGTGATCTTTGGCATCGGCTCTGGACAGTGTAAGGCTGGTCTGTCAGGGGAACAGGCACCCCGTTCGGTTATTTCTACTGTTGTGAGGTACCCCAAATTCAAACTTGTCATGTTTGGGGTGAGTCATAAGGACTGCTATATCAGCGGAGAAGCCCAGTCCAAAAGAGGCATTTTGTCTTTTACCTACCCAATGGAAAATGGGGTAGTTACATCCTGGGATGACATGGAGAAGATTTGGAGATACCTATACAAACAAGAACTCAAATGAAACCAAGTGACAGGCCACCACTGCTGACCAAGACCCCTCTCAATCCTTTGTCCCATTGAGGAAAAAATGGCTGAGACGATGTTTGAAAGCTTCCAGGTGCCTGTCCTTTTTGTGACTCTGCAGGCACTAACAGCCCTGTACGCCTGTGCCCGCACAACTGGACCAGTGCTGGACAGTGGCGACAGTGTCACTGTCACGGTCCCTGTCTGCAAAGGCCGTTCCCTGCTACACGGCATTACCAGGCTGGATTTTGCAGGCAGAGGTGTAACCAAATACCTTGCTAGGCGCCTTTTGGAGACCAGGCACTCCTTTGTAAGCACAGCAGAGAGAGAAATTGTCAGAGATGTGGAGAAGCTGTGCTATGTTGCTTTAGATCCTAGCCAAAATATGCAGGAAAAGCCTGAAAAACTTATGTGCGAATACATTCTCCCTGACGGAACGGCTCTTGAGGCAGAACACCAGCTATTCCAGGCTCCTGAAGCGCTTTTTATGCCCACAGAGGCAGAAATCCCAGGGCCGGGGGTTGGAGGGATGGTCCTCTGGAGCGTCGCCAAGTGTCGTGAGCACATCCAGTGCGACATCCTAAGGAACGTGCTGTTATCGGGCAGGTCGACTCTTTTCCAAGGTTTCAAGGAGAGGCTACTGAAGGAGCTCCAGACAGGAGTTCCCAACACAATTCATATCAAGATCATCTCGCCACAAGATCGGATGTACTCCGTGTGGCTTGGTGCTTCCATCCTTGCCAGCTTAAGAGCATTTAGGAATATGTGGGTTACCAGGGAAGACTATAACGAGGTTGGACCAACAGTACTCCAGAGAAAATGCATTTGAAAACTTCAGTAGGACCATCCAGGAGTTTTTTTTAAGTGCCAATCTGAACAGCTGGAGAGCAGTTAATAAATCAGTAGAAAAATAATTGATTTCTAGTAAGTGATTTTATGGCTTACTAAAGAAAGGTCCCTTGTGCATTGGGTTGAAGAAAGAGTCCTTGTTCAGAGCATTTTTGCTATCCAAGATGTTGGTTTTAATTCTAGAAATGTGTTGATCCCTGCTAGAACTGCAAACAGTTTGTCAGACTTTTAAACACTTGAGAACAAGCCACCTCCATCCCATGCCCGTGGGGGCTGGCTCCTTGCCATTCATCGTAAACTTCCAAAGAGTGGAAAGAGACCTCTGACGGAGAAATAGAGGGCTCAGGGGTATTGCTGACCCTTCACCATAGCACTGGAGATCTCCTGTAGCAGCCCTGGAGGAGCTCAGAGGTGGCTGAACTTCTAAATTTGTTTTTGCTCACGAAATGAAAATAAGTTGGTCTGGCTGTTAAAGCAGAGCTCTCGAAGCTAGAAAGTCTGTGCTGTTAGCGGCCTTGCCATGTGATTTGCTATGTCACATCACGTAAAACATTGCCTCCGTTTGTCCACCTGTGGGATTTCACTAATATTCTAGCATAAGGACTATGTGAGACTACATTTAGATAACTTAATACAATATTAATTAAATTTAGTAAATTAAGCAGAAAGCACAAGGTGAAAGGTATCTAGTTTGGGTTTATCCTTAGAGGACTCCTGAACGCATGTTTTGATGTCAGGCATCTAAGAGAAGGTGGAGGCATTGGTCCCTAGCCGACACTGATTCTCTTTTGGGAAAGCTGAATATGTTAGGAGAAAGCGTCATTCCTCTACCTCATCACCGAGAGCTAGGGAAAGTGACAAAATAATCCTGCAAATATTTGCTTGAATCACTAAGCAAATCTGCCTTGCCAAGCTCAATTTTTACAAATAATTCCGCCAAATAAGCTTAACTAGCATAAATATCATGGCTAACTCATTGGATTTCCAAATGAACTATAAAATTCATAACAAAGGTGTGAATTTTCAGCAATGAAATTTGCATTCAAATAAACAACTTGAAAATTATGCATTTACACTGATTGCCTTTATCCACACCTGCAAATACATGCACTGCATCCAGTCAGGCAATAGAAATCTCATCATAATTTGTGAAACTAATTAGCACTATGATTTATATATTGTTCAAAAATTATTTCAAAAAACCCACTCAAGATATACCTGAGAACTTCTTGAATTTGTTCTAGACTAACACGAAAATAGGAAAAGAGCTGAAATCTGTCTTGTTAATTATTCAATACAGCGCCTGGCTATTTTCATTCAGCTCTGGAGATGAATCTTCAAACTCATTGATGCCCTCTGCTGCCTTGGGACTGATTAGTCATCTGCCACCTCCCCTCGCTGCCCTTTAAAAATCACAACACTTTTCCTTTTCTACAAGACATTTACAAGTGCTCTGAAGAGAGGCACATCTAACTCCGTGTTCAGTGGTCCACCGAGCCCTGGAGCACTTCCTCAGCAGGGCAAGTGGAAAAATGAAAAGGGCTGAAAGACCCAGCTGCGGAGGACGCGGGCAGGGGAGTAGAGGACGATTTGTGGATGACTCCAGCAGTAACTACAGCAAGACCCACCTAACCTCATTTTCCCCAATGATCAGAGTGAAAGCATAAAGCAAAGAGTCTGGAGTAAAGCACGTAGCTTTCCTGCTCCACTTGGGCCCTGAGGCTTCAGAAAGTTGATATATATATTACTCCATCAAGTTAATGCAAGTATTCGGAGCACTTCTAGAGCTGTTATGAAATCAGAATCAGCAATGTTGGATCTTTCTTCTATTACAGTATGTTACCTTTTAGCAGCCCACTGGAAATGTGTAAACAAACGAGGTACAAATGTAGACAGTTTAAATATTTTACAGCTCACTGACTTCCATATGAGGAGGGATTTGCAGTAACTTGAGTGTTTAGACTCCTGCTCCAATAATCTAATGCAAATAAAAATGAAAAAAAAAGTGTGCTGGAAAGCAGAGGGAACCTGAGTGAACAGTGCAACTCAAGGTTGTGGTCAGGAAGGAGAAGAGAAAAGCAAAGAACATGATAACTCTGCACACCAGATGCAGACACAAAACGTTTGGAGAGTGACACCTAGCAGAGCTCTGTGTGTGCTTTTAATGAGATTTCACCCTTGCAGAACAAGATATTGCCCCAAGTAATCCAGGATGGATTCACTGATACCAAACTTGTTCTACATCAAGGGAGCTGGTTCAGCTCCTCCCAGCTGAAAATCATTCAACAAACCATTATTACAGGTATGCAACACCCACAGTACTGGTTTGGCCTGGCTGTTTCCATTTACCTCTTAGACATGACTTTGCTCAAGGACACACAACAAGATAGCAGAAGTTGGCACATGTTCCGTGACTCTAGGCTTTGTATCAGCCTCTTCAGTCTCTTGGTCACCTTCTGCTTCCGTCACTGCACAGGGCACTGGAAATTCATTACTTCATTTATATTTCATTTTTGCTTTGAAGAGGTCTGAGGTCTTAATCATTTGGGACCTTATTCCCTTGGCCCTCATGCCATAGAAAATGAATTACAAGAATCCTTTCTCTGATGTATTTCCACCTATGCTCTACCTGTCCTCTGGACACGTAGAGGATTTAAATTGTAAATGCCTGGGATCTTTCTAACCTCAGGAAAGCAACACTAGTCTGGTCAATATGGGACTGGTTGCAAGGACTAAAGAGGCCTGAGTTAATTCCTAGACTTACCAGCGATTCGTTGTGGAATGAAAAGTTTAATCTTGGGCACATCAGGCATCAGTTCCCACTTACAAACACCCTCCTTTTGTTCCATCTTTTACTTGTCCTGCAAGCTATTTGGGGTAAGTGCTGGCTCTTGCTTTAAGAGCATGTATCAGTGCAAAGATCTGGGATTTTGGGGCCACAAGATCAGAGACACAAAATCATTTGTGAAGTTTGCACTGGAATTACACAAAAATCTCAACCTGCTCCTGGTAATTTTTTCCCTCCCTCCCCAAGTCTCATTTAAGTTTCAATCCAGCAGCAGCTCTTTATTTTCTTTTAAATGTCAAACAATTCATCATTTTGCA